TTTTAGGACAGATAGATTTTGCCGATGGTCGCCACAAACACCGATTGTATGCCTTGAAACTGTTCCGCTGAGCTGTTTATTATATTACTGAAGGGTCTTTCCACTATCTTTCGCATGCATTGATCTTACTTGCATAGCTGACGCACTTACAAACTTATTTTCATAGATACTGACCGACAGAGTGGCGTAGATCCTTATCGAGTGCCATTTACTGGCTCCTATATGTATGCCAAACACACAAAGCCACATGGCTGTAGACAGAGTATCATATTGTAGTGATGTTTAAACTCAATTTGAAAAGTAGCTCTTGTACAATATATGAAGTATTTTTGCTGCCTACTTATCAACTCGGTTTGCTATTTGATGTGTAGCGCGAGGTCGCTAATGAGTGTGTATAACACGCGCCCGTGAGAGCCAAAACCTATGTATAGGGTCACTATCGCTCTCTTGATACATTTGCGTCGTCGTACTAGCTTTCTGTGCTTACGCTTTGATGTTTTAGTCTGTATAATTAAGCGCGTCACTAACTGGGCACAGGCCATTCCGCAGCTATACCGGTATGCTGAACGCGCATCTGTTAGCAGTAGCCAACGCGATATATACGCGCGAGGCGGGTACGCCTTATAGTCATCCGCGAATCAACCGAGCTTTCATCTCGGCCTTTATGAACAGGACACTAAAATACAATATTGCATTCAGACACATCGACTTGCCACGTCCATCTGTACGGTCTGCACTGTCACGCAGTGGTAGTATCTATGTAAACAGCAGCTTATTCGTCGCACGTAGTTCCCACTCAATACTGTAGTTTAAATTTGTGAGCGCCAATAAGTGCAATATACGCTATAAGAGCGGATGGTACAGATAGCATGGTTTTGCGTGTGCCCACGTGAGCGAGTGTACGTGCCATCTACGGTGATGCGTATGCGGATAGGAACCACCAACTTGCAGCGGTGCACAGTTGATTCCATGTGCTAATTATTTTATGAAGCGCGCTACGCTCGTAGGTGCGTCAACACCATAGGCAGCTTACCGTATGTGCGGCCCCAAGCCTCGCACCGTGAGCCAGTATACCAAAACAAAAATAGGTTGGAAAATGGGGGCATAAAGGGTATATTTACCATTACTTGCTCTTCTGCTGCTTCTTTTGCTCGATATACTTGGCGTTTCGGGCGGTCAGTTTGTGAGGGTGGCTGCGCCTCGTTTTCTTCTGGGGGTACCAGTCAGGACCCATCGCCTTCTTGACGCTCGCCAGGCTTTCCTGGCGGCGCACGTTGGCCGAATCAGGTGGTGGAAGCTTTTCTCCCAGAGCTTAACCGCTTTTGGGCCGCTCTCGCAGGCAATACAGCGCCGCACGATGTCCCGCCCGCTGATTGTACGGAATGCGTAGCCGTACTGCAGCTTCCCGCAGCAGACGCAGCGGGCTCGGGGGTCCGTCGTAGACCGCTGCGGGTTCAGCAGAAGCGGGTCAATCTTCGCCTCGCATTGCTTGCACGTAGGGCCCACCATTTTGCAAACTGTGAGTAAGTTAGCAAAATATTTTGTTTTAACCAATTACTTGCGTCCAAATATTAGCCAATCGCTTGGAAATATAAGGCTGGTATTTATTATTTAGAAACATAATAAAAAGTTGATACTAACGTTTTGGCTTTGCTATAATATATTAATATCAGATTCCCAAACAAAGACATACTTTACATGCAATATAAATTGACTAAAAAAACTATGTATCGTGCGCGCATGCATTCGTCGGGTGGGGTGCACGGGAGCAGATAGCGCAATGACCGTGCGGCCGCGCGCCTTTTTGCACGCTGACAATGGAGAGTGCCAGGAGAAGTAAAAATAATATTTGCAAGGCCCTACCAAAACG